ATGACAATTCATTTCACGAGAATGGCAAAAATAAAATTAAAACTAGGTCACTCTACAATACATTGTAACAAATGTTACAAAATAAAGGAACAAAATTGTCTAGGGACATTTTACCATTGATCACCATTATCCCAAAAATATACCTCACTATCTCGAAATTTTGGTCAGTGACATATGGTGAGAAAATGATATATAGAGTTTTACGATATATTGTTGAAATTTAGAAGTATTTCAAACTTTATTCATAGTGAGTTTTTAATGACAAATAGTGTTTTTATTGTGGTCCAATGAAACCACTGCCAAATTACCATATATATTGTAATTCATATTATCTGACAGTTTTTCTCAAAAAGCAAATCATGGTTGATATTGAATTTTAATGATGCCCACATATCAAAAACTTCATTGTCATCTCTTTTCAACAAACTCCCGGGGGAAAATCTGATCATTCAGACAATTAAATTATATTTTACTTTTCGATGGACAGCAAAACAAAATGAATATGTATATCTATCTTGCTATGTGTCTATTCTCGGGGACGGACATCCGGGCATTTTCACCCCTGGCAACCATCACAGTGAAAACAAAGGCCGATAGCTATCAAAAAACGGTACTTTGGAATGGTTGTTGAGACTCCCCTGAACAGTGTAACAAGATTACCCCTGTGTGTGCACCATATATAAATTTGGTTGTATAGAATTACTTCAAAGTTGAGTTTGTGCCGTGTTCTCGAATTTTCACCGGATCTCCGACCGGCGTTCAATAATATTCAAAGTCTCGTTTGACTTCCAGCAATAAATTGAATAGCTTTTTTTCCAGAATTGCCAAAACAAAAATGTTCATAATGTCACCTTTTTAGATAATAACACATTTTTAAGAGTTATTGAAGACCGAACACGTCGTAGTCCCGTTTCACTGTTATATAGTTTGCAACATTTTTTACTAACCATTCAATTTTATGTCCTATGAGTTCTGGGTAATCAATGAGGTGTATTTTATTACGATCACGTGATTGAGATATTGTTCTTTTCATCGTGACTTGGATTTGCTTTCGAAAATAAAAAAATAAAAAGCTGACGTTTCGTAGCATTCAACCCGAATTCCGATTTAATACTGAGTAAAATTATATTTCTGACGCCAAATTAAAATGCATTAGCATGACTTGACAACCAGTTGCAGGATTCACAGACTCACCACCACAACACCCCCACCACCCAGGTACACCGGCCAATTATTTTGATATTGACAACCCTCGTAGTTGTAATATCATGCTTTTTATTTATATTAGTAAAACGATGTATTCAAATAAGGCGAATGGTCAAAAGTCTAAACAGCTTGGCCAAGTCCAGTTTTATGAGCGCATCCTCCCTAATTTGGAACACCGTCCCTCAACGGTGTTTGGAACAAAGCAATATTATTTTAGTGTTAACAATATAATATTATATTATATTATAATATAATTATCTACTGAAAATATGTTGCGTTAGACGTAGTTTATAGCAGTGAACTAGACCCCTAGCTTCCACTAACCATGGTCTCTTTGATGACAATTTCATGCCGAGTGTACTGGTATGAATGATGGAGAACTGAAACTGGAAAACAAATACACTCATTATTCAACGAATAATTGACTAACTTTGTTAATCGTCTCGTTCATGACGACATGTTGGTTTCTTGCCAACCTAAGAAAAGATATAGAAACTACTCGAATGAAATTTGAACAGCATAATATTAAGCATGTCAATTTAGCTTTTGTTGTATTTTCAAACATTTAGTTGTTTTGCCTTAAATTTTTAATCAGTGTGACTAACCTTGTTAATCACCCCTGCCATGACGACATCATATTGATTCATTGCCAACCAAAGATAATATGCAGAAACTACTCGAATGAAATTTGAATAGCATAATAATTTATGTGTCTATGTATCTTTTGTCTGGAACATGTTTTTTAATTTTAGTTATTTTACCTTAAATTGTACTAGTAATTAGTGATACCAGACATGTAAATAAAATAAACACCGAAAAGAAAATGAAGCCGGGTCATGTTGTGAGGCGAATAATATATTGTTCAAGAATACAAAATACCCAAACAATTAACAGAAAACCAATTGCGCAAACCTTTAAAGGGCAGCAGTCGTCGCGACGCGTCTCGTTCGATATGGGACTCATAGAAACGTATACAACGCGTGTAAAATACATTGTTTATTTACATGAAATTCGAACACGCGCTGCGCGACGACCACCGCGCTTTAAATATTTCCGACGGTAGACGCTTACATAAGTTTAGCATAAGCCTCGTGCATACGTCATGTAGCAGATCGCCATTGGTTACTCGCGCCTATAGCACAATACATACGAATATAGCATAAAACTGCGACTGCTTGTGTCTCGAAAACTGTCGGATATATCAGGTCGGCAATGTAACAACCGAAAAGCAGGACTACTTTAGAACAATGGGTCTTGAAGTTTGAACAACTTGATGTTCTAGTTTTTGATATCAAGTCAGGCGTTCACAGTAATCATCCCGGGGAAGTTACCTCTACTCGATCCGAAGCCATCACATGTGATGGATAGCCCTTTCACCAAATGTTGCGAAAAATGTACATGCTATTTAAAGACTAGATCTCTGCGTATTTCTCATTAGTGTTGCACGGTACAAACCCCGCCCCATGCCACCGAAATAACGATTGTTCAAGCTTTAATAAGGCGTTTTTTCGTTGCTAAACATGACTGAACTATTCTTTTTGTTTCTAGACTCAAAACATGTTTCCTATTTTACATGAACTATGCATTCTGATGCCGTCAACATTAGAAAAGTTGGCAACGAACTGAATACTATATCAATCCATTATTTAGTAAAAGGTTGGTCCTTTCACCGTATGGTTTGTATATTGTCACGTGATCATATTTATTGAAATCTTTGAAATAGAAGTATGGTAAAAATATATGTTTGAATGGGAACACCATTCGAGTTTGAAAACATGTCAAATTGCAGAAATGGGATCTAGTATGTCGGTCTTATATTGGTTCCGAAGGCGTCTTCAATACGAGTCCTTCGAAAAACAAAGACTGCAGGTTTAACTTGAACTATACTATTGAATACATTCTTCAGACAAATATACATATTTAAGTTTACCGATTTGATGATGTATGTATCCAGTACATGTAAGTCATCTATTGTGCTCAGTATATCAGATAAGGAAACCTTGTCGTAAACGGTGATCAGGATTTTTCCAGGACACGAATAATGAAGAGTCAACTGCTATCAGTGACGGCGGTACCGTGTGGGTCGCCCCCACGATTAAATAAGTTGAAACACTCATCTATATTTGTCACTTAAATCCACCGCAAATTTGCTCCCCCAAATCCAGGAAACAGCGTTTCAGCGGGTCTAGATTTCAAAATTTTAAGTTGTAAGTCAAACACTAAAAGGCAGGTACACAATTTGTTTGAATCAAGTATGTATAGTTGTTGAAACAGGGGAGCGGTGTGAGCGTGAGAGGAGGTAAATTTTAGTATTGGACTATTTTTAACTAAAGCAGTAGTATAGGTTTCAAAAATCATGTCGGGTAAGTAATTCCCCAAATTCAAATACAATAACTGAGATGTGGCAAGATTATTGAACATCATTGGACATATTTTGGAACATAATGACGGAACTAGGAAATAATGGCCACTTTTTAGAAGTTATTACTTCTTTTATTCTTTCAGTGTAATTTCCAGTTGATGTAGCGCCCTCTATCGGCAAACCACATATACCAAGTCTACCCTCCGTTCTCATTGTATTTGTAATTTGCTTTTTCTACATTTATATTAGGTTTGTTAGTCTAAGCAATGCATCATTGACAGACTCTTTGAAATTCTCTGTTCATGAAGGTTAGGTTAATAATCATGCCGTTTTTGCACAAATTTGCGTCATCGGCAAAAAACCGGAAATCAAATGCATTTGTTAGGTCTATAATGTTATTTATATATACCCAAAATAAAATTGGCCTCAGAATCGATCCTTTTGGAACACCGCATTGGATTGGCTTGTATAAAGTGAAAATATTCAGTATACTGACTGATTGTTGGCGATTACTTAAATAGTTTTCAATTTCAATTTCTTCTCTTTAGTCAGAATTAGTCCGTCTAACATTCTTGACCTTTGTAAAACTTTTTAAAGTTACATCGCTACGTTGGCTGTACCTGAACGTGTTCTAGTTTAAAACCGCCAAGTTAGTCTGATTTTTTAATAATCACTTTGTTATTTTTACGACAATATTAATATATACGTATTGAAAACTATACAGATGTGTGTACAGGTGTTAAAGCATATGAGGATTTCCGATTTACTATAAAACTGTTGTTTTGTGATCGCACGATTTGAAGTATATTTTACCTGCAGCTGTTACATCTAAATGTAAAAATACGAACATTCTAATTTGGTTGTTTTACGAAAAGACAAGTTGAATTAGAATACGCTCTGTACTATATATTATGTGGTAATGTAAAACTATCATGTTTATATAACATAAACCATGCACGATGGGATACTGTCCTAACCCTACTGAGACTGGTTATTAGCTCGTCACAACTTGTGGAACTCATTTTTTCTTCATATTCCCTAAAAATCTTTATTTATATTTGTTTTTGACGGAAATAAATACCAGTTTTACCACACGAACTTTTTTTTTTTTACACTCATATGCCTACGTCACAGCATGTTTATTGTTGTTATTATTATTATAGGTTTCTGCTACAAAAACAAAATATTTGTTACACATAAAAGGTACTGAAAAATACTACTTAGTGAAATATAGTATATTCCATTAGTGTGGTATATTTCGGAATTATCTTTTTTTTAATTTGTTCTGAACAACAGGCTGTAACATGTTTTGGATACAAGTTGGCGCACGCCCACATTACTGGAGAAAACAAATCTCAACGGGACGTTTTGTTTGAGGCTCGTTGCCAGTGACAACGAGCTGAGCTCACGACACAACAGGGTCGCCATCTTAGTCGTGGAGGATGAGCGCAAACATCGACACCAACAATTTGCTTCACATCTTTCACTGAGGACATTCATCTAATAATTTTGGATACATGTGGAAGAATATCACACCGACGCATCGCAGCAAGTGATTTGAGAACTGTACAAGCCAATACTGCTGTTTATCTTGAAGCTTTTAAGCGAGCAAGTAATTTGACAAAATGGCTGATCCCGCGGATCCGCGATATGACTTTATTTCTGACTATGTGCTAAAGAGCTTTAAAGTGAAGCCTGATAAATGGTCTAAATGTATCGGAGTCGATGAAAACAGACTTTTGATGACAGAATTCTTCGAGAAAGTAGATAATACCCAATTAATTTTCCAGTCAAGCGCTGCAGGACTAATAGTGCCACAACTGGATTGGCCAACGAACTTGAAACAGAAAGCAATATATTTCGTGCGAAAAAACAAAGATGCTATCCAGAAAGACAATATTAAGAACGTATTAGTTTATGGAGACATTTCATATTCACCGTTGGAGCAGTTGTCAGCACTTGTTGATGAGGTATGACAATTTAAATGTTCTGTATTTCGACGACTCCCATTGCTGTTGTTGGACTGTCTTTCGCGCTGAAAAAAAAAACAGCAACCTGAAAAACGAAGCTTACTAGTATTACTCTATAGCTTTTCTAAGGTCTATAACATAACATTTGTAATCGTTCATTTATTCACGTATGTATTTGTTCTTGCTTTAAGAAAAATGTCATATTTTAAATTTGTACACAATTAGTTTGACATTGTAAATTAAATTATGTGTGTTGAGATGGGAGTATAATGTAACTTCAGGTATAAATTCTCCCCTTTCAATTCTGGAACCAAAGACATGTTTTTACTGGAACTATAGAACATTAAAAATGAGACAATTTTGTTTTCCAGACAGTGTTTATTGCTTTGATTTTGCAATCTGTTAAGCAGCTGGTGTTTGTAAACTCTATTGTAGCTGATAATCTAGACGGCCATTTAGACTTGCCTGTGCTTTGTAAATAGACATTAATGCATTTACTTATTCAGTTATTGCAAACTAATTAAACATTTCTTGGCATTGTTTCTCACCTGTCTCGGGCTGATATCCACTTTATTACTCTAACATACCTCAATGCATTCTGTGTTGTTGCTGCCCTTTGACATGCAACCATGGCCACTGGCAACATGTCTATTTTGTGATCAACACAACACTGATCATCCATTTTTACAATTGTCAATGTTATTTTTCTGTTTTTTTTTTTTATTAATTCATTCTTTCTGGTAATACATTAAAATATATTATTTTTTCTCCGAAGGTTTTGGTACCTCTTCTTTCCAACCCACGTAACCATGAGCAATGGCCCAATGTAGTATCACAAGATGTCCTTAGACACATACACAATCTAAAAAGCAGTGTGTATGTCGTCTCTGGTCAGGTCAAAGGGAAAACACTACTGCCATTGCCTGTAGGAACTGAAAAAGTAGAAGAAAGTACTGCTGATGCTGAGGAAAAGTATGTATGAACCAAATACACAAATGTAAAATTTAGTTAAGCTGGGTTACTACAAAACCACAAACAAGAGTCTGTATGCAAGTCTATTACCAGTATTAATAATGATTTTATATGTATGAAGAGATTAAAACGTTTACTTGTCTTTTTCATTTACAGAGGTGAGGGATATGACAGAGGTCTGGTCCATGCCATAGAATCCGTCATCATTGATTGGACACATCAGATCAGGGATGTATTAAAAAGAGATTCTGCACAGCCATTGCTAGAAGGGCTCAATCCCGGACCACTTGTAGAAATAGATTTCTGGAAGGCAAAATGTGCCAACCTGGAATGTATCTATGAGCAGGTGGGTTGCTGACATTTTTTGTATATTTTATATTTGAAGCTTACCGGGTATTGATTTAAATTATGCAACTCTTACTGCCTATGCATTTGTGAAAAACTCAATATTCAAATTGTTTCAGTTACGTGATCCCAAAGTACGTAAGATGGCAGAGCTTCTTGAGAAAACACAAAGTAGCTATTTTCCAACATTCAAGAACATATTTAGAGATGTAGTAGAAGGTAAGATTATTAATGTTTTTTTTTCTCAATTAAATTAATTAATAATCATAACTTAATTTTTTTGTTTACAGTATATCAAATATATGCAATATCAATTATGATTACACTTCTAAATTTTATCTTGCAATTAGCATTGACTGAAGCTCAAGACATTAGTCTTCATCTGAAGCCTCTCAAGCGTCACTTAGAAGAAATAGAATCAGTTGATTTAACTGAGCTGAAACCTCTACTTCAACCACTGATGCATGTCATCTGCCTTACATGGGCCCATTCACAATATTACAACACACCGGCAAGGCTCATTGTACTGCTTCAGGAGGTCTGCAATCTATTGATTGAGTTGGTATGTTGCTCTTTTGATATTATTTTTCATTCTTTCTTGCAATGCAACAACCAGTTTGTGGTTTTCTTGTCATTGTATGTTGTGTGTATTAACTTTGTTTTTTTTTGTTTTTTCAGGCAAGAACTTACCTTGAGCCCAATGAGATCTTCAAAGGTGAAGCTGAAGAGTCGCTTGAGAAGACTCAGATGGCCATTGATGTACTTAAAGAGTTCCGTAAGGTGTATGAAGAACATAGAGCAAAACTCAAAGATTATTTCAAGAATGGTGACGAACCCAAAGAGTGGGAATTTGCCTCGCCCTTGGTGTTCACCAGATTGGACAAATTCATGGAAAGATTGGAAATACTCAAGGTAAGAAAAATAACTACTTAGGATGTGAATGTTTGCTTCTTTAAGTTCACACAATGTGTTCACCTATGGCTATATTCAATTTGGTATTATATAATTTGGATATTTTGTTCTCATTACAGGAATTATTTGAAACTACAATGGAGTTCTTGAAGTTGGAAAAGACAGAAATGGGTGGAATGAAGGGAAGAATGCTCAGTGCACAGGTTGTGCAGATATTTGAAGAATTCCAAGAATATGTGAAAGTGTTCTCAGAACGCACATATGATGCACTGGATCCAAATACAAAGGTCAGTTCTTCTAAAAAAAATTCAAGTTTATATATACATTTTATTCATAAATTCTTAACATAAAGACTCATTCCTGCTAATGGATACCCTCCCTTTTTCTATTTATAGAATATGAAACCTGCCACTCATTTTTACCATCATGTGGCAAACAACTGTTTCTGACATTATATGTCAGTTTTGCTTTTCTTTACTTTTTTTTCAATATGCAAAATGCAAGGTACCATTACATTGTAGTATAGTGTACTGTAAATAATTTATTTTCACTGGAATTAATTTTCGCTGAAAAAACATTTTGGGTATTTCGTATAGAATTTATTTTCACTGATTGTTGGTGAGTTGAATGTAAAATTTGGCAAAAAATGGATTTTCACTGGATTTTATTTTCACTGAATCACTCCTTCAGCGAAAATTAATTCCAAGCAAAAATAAAGTATTTTACAGTATTTAACCACAGCAACCATATTCTGCTGTGTGACTGTTACTACATTCACGTTACGGGATCTCGGCACATGCCGACATTTTTAATCCTTTGTGTTTGCAGAGGGATTACAGCAGTTGTGTTCACGTTATTCGGGACCCACTTAGGACTGACTCGGCTCGTGCTGCCGGAATCACGCCCTCATACATCGATCTGTTGGCCCAAACATGGAAAACGATATGCATATGATGATAATAATAATTGCTATAGTGAAATTATATCCATTTGTTGCTTAGTGTTTATTACGAGCCATCGTGCACATGAATGGCAAAGAAGATTCAAAACACAATTATTTTTTTCAAGTCAATGTAGTTGCAAGAAAATAGCGGTGGCAGCAGCACATAAATATGCGTCACTCGCTGACGCCGGTTTGCATTCATTTCATTCATTACTACAGCATCCGACCATATACTAGTATATCTGTTTTTCCTGTCATCGTCATTTCATACTAGTATGAATCAGCTTATGTTTTCTTAAATTTGCCTTGAGGGCGTGATTTCGGCTCGTGCTGAGCGTTCAGGCAGCAAATGTAAGCACGTGTCGAGTTTCGGTCCCAAGCATCTATCGGGACCGAGATCGAGTTCTTTTTGCCACGTGCTGACTAGGTCCTGACCGTTCACATACAAGTTTCGGCACGTGCCGAGATCTCTAACGTGAACGCCACTTGTCTTTCATCAAGTACTTTGGTTAAAACTATTCTGTTTTTTTGTCATCTTTTGTAGGAATTTTTGGACGACTATGAAATATTCCAGAAACAAGTATATGACTTGGATCGCAGACTTGGTGCGATATTATGTCAAGGATTTGATGATTGTTCAGCTGTGGAAGCAGTATTCAAGGTAAGACATCACAGTTGAGCAGCATTAATTATTTTCTCTTTTTCTAACATACCACATGCCAATGCCGAGCTTCCATGCTTCTTCCACTTTGCTGTGTTTTTTTCAACCAAGCTTACTTTTCTTTTTTTTTCAAATTGTCTTAATTTTTTTTTTTGTAAAAGTTTGATAGCTTCATTCCAAGTGTTGAAGCACATCCTCATCAAACTGTGTGCTGTCATTGCATGTTATTCATTTAGTTGCTGACATCATTACACTTGCATATACATGTTCTCATGGCATACTAACACGTAACACTATTTCTATCACATCTGCCTCTCTATATGCAGTATCTTCAACTCTTCAATTATATCCTTAATAAACGTATAACTGTAAGTACAGATGAGAGTATTAAAGCAAAGCGTTGCAATATACTCTTGTGTGGAGTCTGTAATAGTGAGGATGGTGACCAGGTATTTGTTCCTATATTGTGCATGCTATTGTTGTACGTGTGCATATTTTTAAAATGTTGACGTGCCTAATTTTTCTGAGAGGGATGCTAGTGGCTTCACTAGGTAATACTGCAGTGCTGTTGTCATAGGTCTTAGTATGTTTTACTGTTGTATGGAGCTTTTCTTATTACATTCTCCTTTTGAAAACAATGGTTAGTTAGAGGATAAGTGTTGTGTGCCTAATTTAACTTTTTATGATTATCCTGAATTCATATTTACATTGTAACTCTTGTCATTTCAGATGCTGGATTGCTATGGTACACTATTGGACAGAAAAGTTATAAGAGAAGATTTTGAACACAAGTATCCCAAATTGTTAGAAATGTATGACAAAGAGTTAGATGATGCTAAGATAATTTATGATCAACAAATGGCATTGTCAGATGCTACTGATGGTCATCCACCAATCAACAAAAATATGCCTGAAGTAACTGGAGCAATGAAATGGTCTGAAGAGCTCAAACAACGTATTACAATACCTATGAGCAGTTTTAAGCATATAGAACATCCGTAAGTATATTTAAAATATATTTTATTTTACTTTGATGTAAGAAGAATAAACTTGATAATTTGTTTCAATTGTGTAAAACCAACAGACTTTATCTATAACACACAACTTGTCTTTGTGACGGTGTGTAACTGCTATTTGCCAAGCCAAATATACAAGCTTTTTAATTTTTTTATTTTAATGGTAATTTAATTGGCTAGTTGCTGCTCATTTTTTTGCTACACTGCTTTGAACAATGCAATACCTTGCATCGCGCTGCTTAATTAATGCACCATTGCTTTAAAATATACCGCTCTAAAATTGCATCTGCTATTTTTTTTTACTCCTTCATTCTCATCATACAATACTTTTTCACCTGCAAATGTATCTTCCATGGACCACATGTACAGAACTGGAATCCAGAGGTAACACTACAAGGAGTGCACAGTTATTCTCTTTACGCATGAATTGCAAATTATAACACAGTTATAATTTATTTATTTATTGTGTTCTCCTCAAACACTTCAATTTTCACACCATCAGTATAAGTCTAGATAATTTTAGATTCTATCCTCTTATGGAGGTTTCAATCTGGTTTGCTTTTATTGCTGCATCTCAAAATAATGAAGATGGTGTTTGAGAATTGTCTTTGTGAGAGTTTTGACTAAAATTTGTTGTGCATTTCACTGTACTTTGCATGTTTTATAGTAACACTTACCGGTACACATATTCTGTATTTGCTAATAACCTTAAAAAAGCTATTCAATTCATTAAAAATTGAAATCATTAACTTTTTGTTTTTGTTATTGTGCTAAGTTGCTATCAAAACCATCCCCAACTCTGCTGTAGTTTTGTATCCAACTTTTTTTATAAGAGAGGATTACTCTATTTGCAGCCAGGGGTTTTTATCCTTAAAAATTTTTTATTACTAACTGTATAACAGATACTGTTTTTCTAACCTGTATTTGCGTGCCTATATCTCTGAACAGACTTGTATGGTTTTGTTATTGTATACAATTTTTAAAGGTTGTCTTTAACATAGCTTTTAATATTTCAGAATCATGGATAGCAATGATGCAAATGCTATTTTTACAAAATATGAAGAAATGATGAACCTTCTTACCAAGTGAGTACTTTTGACAAAAAAACATTTACAGATTTGGAAACGTCTTTATAATACCATATTTATACATCAGCACCAATCAGTACAGGCACTATACTGTTTTCTCATTTCTGTTGGCTGGCAATTAAATACTAGTCATTTATTTGTATCATTAGTTGTGTTCTTGTATAAGCATCCTTTTAACCAAATCATTTTTACTAGATATGATGAAAAGATTTACGAAGAGTGGATGAACAGTGTAGATGAAAAGTGTCAGTTCAACCTGGACCAAGCGCTAATAAAAAGAAATGAAGAAACTAAACTTATTGTAGTTAACTTTGATCCTCAGGTTTGTATTGCTTTTATATATTTTAAAATTGTGATAGATAGGGATCAAATGGATCATATTATTGAAACTTTAAAAATTGTTTTCTACTAAAATGATTGTGCATGGGCTTACAGTCCTTAAGTATTAAATTATCTAGCTTTCTGGTTTCATTATCTTAGTAATTATAAACAAACCAAGAAAATCACAAGACACAAAACTATTTACTACTATTAATTAACAAATGAATGAAATGTTAAAACAAATTTGTAGGAGCGGCTGAGTTTATTAGAGTGAAACTTGGATATCTCATTAAGGTGGACTGACATTTGAATGTGGGCATGTCCCAACATTACTGGAGGAAAACAAATTATTGTTTTAGCAAAAATCAGATAGTCTTACTTGTGTGTGTGTGTGTGTGTGTGTAGGGTGGGGTCTGACTAATAAAGGTATCACGGTGTAATGAAATGATTATATCATAGTGTAGCTTATAAAAATAAAAACTGCTGTTTAAATATTTGTAATTTTTAGCAACGTTTGCATGATTTGCATGTCACTGAATATTACTCTCTGCCTGTTTCACACAGCTTGTAGCAGTTCTGAGAGAAGTAAAATATTTGAATATAAGAGGCGAGGACAACATTCCAGAAAAGGGCAGAAATCTGTATGAAAAACATGAAACATTCCGTGAATATCGAGCTAATCTTGACTTAACAGTTCAATGGTATAATGAAGTGAGAGAAACTGTTTTAGAAGTTGAATTTCCACTCATTGAAAACCAGCTAGTTGATATTGATAATCAGCTAGAAAAAGCTGAAAAAAGTTTGAACTGGAATCAAGATACTATCAAGGAATACATCCATGAAACCAAAGATCTTGTAAAAGATTTACAGAAGCGAGTAGAATCTGCCAAGTTTAATGTAGATAGAATTAAAAAGATTATGGCTGAATGGAGTAAAACACCTTTGTTTGAAAGAAAAGAACTCAAGGATTCAGCACTACTTGGTCTTGATGATAGAGTGGACAGAATTAAAAAACGTTATGCAGACATTGAAGCTGATGGTGAAAAAATACGTGATCTTGTTAAGGTAAGTGTAAACTCAAGTTTTTTGTTACAATATAAATAAGTGAATCATGTTAGGAAGGGGTAAATATTCTTACGACTTCTATAACTAAGGGAGTTTTTGATCGAATTAGGTTTTTAGAAGTTAATAAAGTTAATAGGGTACAAATATATCACTCAAGTATGCTTGTGAATAGTGACAATACAGATTTTGTTCTTGAAATCATAAGGTGTAAGATTATTAACATTTACATATATTTTCTCTTAACGGAATTTATTTTTCTCATTTTTCAGCAAAACATGGAATTATTCAAAGCTGATGCAGATACCAGCATCTGGAAGGCGTATGTAGATTACCTCGATGACATGGTTGTTGACGGTTTCTTCACTTGTATTCACTGCAGTCTTAATTACTTATTGGACAACACTGATCCCAAGACCACTTCACAAGCACTATTTGAAGCAAGACTTGAGCTGCAAGCACCAGATATGGTGTTTATGCCGTCGCTGGACTTTGGTGTATCTGATGGTTTTTATGATTTAGTGGAAATGTTGGTCAGCGATATTTACAAAATGTCATCTCTGGTGCCCAGACTGGCTGAACACAGTGGTTTAGAACATTACCAAGTAAGTTTTGGTGACAAAAAGTTCTCAGCATTTTCTGATTCTTTTCATGACAATATGAGGTCTTCAATTAAATTTATGTTTGATCATATCTGGTCTAATGTTTCTTTATTTTAACTTTAGTCTGATTTAGAAGATATGTATGATCTTTCTGAAATGAGACAAGATCTGATGGACCGTGTTCAAGGGGTAATGACCAAAGCTCAAGAGTATCGTAATTCATTTGATAATTATGCATATCTATGGGTGGATGATCGTAAGGAGTTCATGCGTCAGTTCCTTCTGTACAACCACGTGCTTACGACTGAGGAGATTGAAACTCATGCTGATGAAGGTGTTCCAGAATCCCCTCCAACATTGGATCAGTTCAAAGAACAGGTCAGTTTTAAAAATACGTGACTATTGTTTTTTTCTTATAATTTGTTATAAGGGGTTATAGATAAATTTGTATGCATTTCCATGAAAAATGATGTCATACTTGAGTATATAATATGTATCTTAAGGCCTTTGAGTTTTTCAACTGAATTTCTTGTTACTTCATAGATAGTCATGTTGGTGGGTATTTACAGTAAAACTAATATTATCAGGTTGCTTTTGTCTTGATTCTTTTAATGTTCTTTTAATGACATTTGACAAGGAGCTGTACTGCTTAAGTTCATTTTGTCTTGATTGTTTAATTAAAACAGTTTTCAAGTTTCAAGCCAAGTAGAAAGATGGTAGTGTTTTATGTATTTCTTGGTAGTTGGCAATCACCAGGAATAAATAGAAAGTCAGCTCACTGGATGCAAACATGTAACTAATGAAATATTTTAATTTTGGCCCAACTAACCTGAAAAAAGCAATTAAATAGTTTTACAGCAACAATTTGGTGCTAATTTAACTTTGTATTTGCCAGTATACATTTGTAACTGTTAAATTTCCTGGTATCATTTAAGCTGATGTGAAGTTATAATTCTATTTTATATTCTGTAATATGTAGTGTCTAACCACTTGTTATTTGGTTTGATTAACAGGTTGATTCTTATGAGAAGATCTACTTAGAAGTTGAAACTGTGGGAGGCAATGAGATGTTTGATAGCTGGTTCAGAGTAGATGCCAGGCCATTCAAACAAGCATTATTGAACATTGTAAAGAGATGGAGCTTTATGTTCAAACAACATCTTATTGACCACGTAACAAACAGGTATTTTACTCTTTTAATTGATGAATGGATAAATGGCTTTTTGTTAAGCATGTATATGATTATTTTCTTTTCACATATATTTTACCGTATTGGCTGTTCAGCTACAGATTTGACAAATGTTTATATTTCTGTGTTCAGTTTGTCTGACCTGCAAGATTTCATCAAGTTGGCTGATTCTGGTTTGACCAAGTCCGTAGAGGAGGGTGATTATGACGGTTTGGTAGAAGTTATGGGCCATCTCATGGCTGTAAAAGATAGACAAGCTACAACGGATGAGATGTTCGAACCTCTAAAGCAAACTATTGAACTTCTCAAAACATACGATCAAGAAATGCCCGAAGAAGTACATACTCAACTACAAGTAAGTAAAAAGAGAAATAAACACAATTGTTGTTGGTTGTTTTTATTTCATAACAAACCAAGATTAGGTGATTTGGTATAGTTTATAGTTTATAAAATTATTACTAAATCTGAACCCATTTTAAATGAGTACAAACTTAGCCGGCAAACTATGAAGTGACAGATTTAGCAGTGGTATGTTTCGCTTGGGGCAAGGGGAGGGGGGGTTACCGGTACATCCATAGAGTGAACTTGCTTGTTGCACTGATGACATGTTCAACATATTTGCTGTTCACATTGATTCTTGTATATAACAATGTAATCATAACAAGTGGTATATCTAGTTAAAATTATAACAATTCAATCATATGAATTATCTGTTATTGCTTGCAGGAATTGCCAGAGAGATGGAATAATACCAAAAAGATTTCCATTACTGTGAAGCAACAGGTTGCTCCCCTACAGGCTAATGAGGTCGCTATTATTCGCAGGAAATGTACCACATTTGATGTAAGTATATGTTGTAGTTTGGAAAAGTCCCATTTGAGAACTCCATGATTGTTATTGGTATATCAAAATGGATGATTCTGTTTTATTTTTCAACTTTTTTGCTTTTGCTTTGCTTCATCTCTTACTATAATTATCATTTACATAACTTATTATTACAGGTCAAACAGCATGAATTCAGGGAGAACTTCAGAAAAACTGCTCCCTTCCGCTTTGACTCTGATGAACCCTATGTCAAATTGGATGAGGTAAGTCTATTACATGTATCAACTGATGACAGTTTAGTAAATGTTGATATTTTATATATCACTTGTTACTACCAATTGACCAAACAATTCCCAATCATTTCAGGCCCATCTGGAAATCTCTGGAATGGAGCAAGAAATGGAAGCTCTACAGGAGTCTTCTGGACTCTTTGAAGTTAACATTCCTGATTACAAACAACTTAAGCAGTGTCGACGTGAGGTATGCATGCTCAAGACTCTTTGGGATATGATTGTTCTGGTGAGATCAAGCATTGAAGATTGGAAAACAACACTGTGGCAGGAAATTAATGTGGAACAGATGGAAATGGATTGTAAGAAGTTTGCTAAAGACATACGTACATTGGATAAAGAGATGAGAGCTTGGGATGCATACTCGGGTATTGAATCCACAGTAAAGAACATGCTAACCTCACTTAGAGCTGTTAGTGAACTACAAAATCCAGCAATCAGAGACAGGCATTGGCAACAACTTATGCAAGCAACCCAGGTAAGTCTTTTCTTAAATTGCTCCGAGCAAATGATTTTATTATGTGCTATTGTATCATTATTTTCCTCTGTCACATTTGTTTAGATGCATCATACAAAGGTAAAATTTTAGTCATTTGTCCAAATTGCTGATTCATGAGTGCTGAGGAAGTGCCAACCTTATTATATTACAATGTAAAATGTTAATGCCATACCCAAACATACTGTATATAAACTTACTGATTGATATATGCACCAAACTAAATTCCTGCCCTTTAAGTGAGACAAGTTTAGGTGCAACAATATTAATAATAATAATGTGGTTCTGCCCATACTCATTTGAATGAGGTTGGTTCTGAGCGAAAGTAGGTTATGTTTTTTGTGCTTTCACTATTATGAATTAATGCCATATTGCATTTCACATTGTGTAGTAACATGCTTAGTAGTGGAAAAATATGAATTAAGATGATAAACAAACTTTTTGATTGGTTGTGTTTCTGATCTTGTTATGTATTCAGTAAATAATTATTGTTTTGTTTTCAATGTCACGAATAGCGGAATGAAGAAATAAAGGTTTGTGTAACACTGGCTAGAAAAAGTTATTGTGTGTAACTAAGTTAGTGTAAACCAATTTGAATCCCTTCCCCTTCTGTGATTTTTTCTTGCATAGCTATCCTACAGCATGAAAACTTCCCAACTTTGAGGATCTCTGAAATATGCTTGAAAAAAAACAGATCTTAGATTTGTTGAAATGTGATAAAAGAATGACTTTGTTTTTAGAGTTGCATGTTTGTTTGTTTTATTTCATATTTTAAAAAAATGTAAATATGTTTCTGTTGTTTTTGTTATTATAGGTTAGATTCATCATGGATGATGAGACTACACTGTCTGATCTTCTTGCTCTTAACCTGCATAACTTTGAAGATGAAGTACGTAACATCGTTGACAAAGCTGTCAAAGAAATGAGTATGGAGAAGGTTCTGAGAGAATTGGATACTACCTGGTCAACTATGGAGTTTGAATATGATTCACATGCACGTACTAGTACACCTCTTCTCAGATCTAGTGAGGAACTCATTGAAACTCTTGAAGATAACCAGGTCAGTTTTTAAGTTCATGTCTTGACAAACTATTAAAGTGGATAATCATGTTGGATTTACTGCTTGGAAAATGTTATTCAAACTCTCATACTCTTTTTTTTTTTTCTTATTTAAACACACAGGTACAATTGCAGAACCTAATGACTTCCAAATACATTGCACACTTCTTGGAAGAAGTGTCTGGTTGGCAGAAGAAGCTGTCCATTGCTGATCAGGTCATCAGCATTTGGTTTGAAGTGCAGCGCACTTGGTCTCATTTGGAGAGCATCTTTATTGGATCAGAGGATATCCGTAGTCAGCTCCCAGAAGATTCAAAGAGATTTGATGGAATCGACACAGACTTCAAAGTAAGTGTTACATCTTATCAAGTTCAATATGCACCCATGCAACATTTACAACAGATAAATACATTGCTTGTTTGAAGCTTCTTTATACATGTGATACCATAACTTGTCACGTCAAAATAACAATATGTGTAAAACTAACTTTCTGTAGGAGTTGATGAATGATGCTGCAAAGACTCCAAATGTAGTTGAAGCTACAAACAAAGAAGGATTATATGAACGACTTGAATCACTCCAGGCTGAGTAAGTTTTTGTTTTCTTTAACTCTTAAAGAAAAGGTATTTTGTCTCTCACAGTTAAGTATTTAGTTTTGAAAATTATTTTCATAATTTTGAATTTTCATTCCAGTCTGACCCTTTGTGAGAAAGCCTTGGCCGAGTACCTTGAAACTAAAAGATTGGCATTCCCACGTTTCTACTTTGTATCATCTGCTGATTTGTTGGACATTCTGTCTAATGGAAATCAACCATCTATTGTTCAGCGCCACTTGTCAAAGCTGTTCGACAACATGGCTAAACTTAAGTTTGATGCTGATGAAGGTGATTCAAATCCTAAGATGGCAACAGGAATGTTCAGCAAAGAAGGAGAATACTGCGACTTTGATAATGTGTGTGAGTGCACTGGCCAGGTTGAATCATGGCTAAACCGCTTGCAGGATGCCATGCGTTCCACTGTTCGTCATGAGTTCAGTGAAGCTGTTGTGTCCTATGAAGAGAAACCCCGGGACCAGTGGTTGTTTGATTACCCTGCTCAAGCAGCATTGGCCACTACCCAGATCTGGTGGACCACTGAAGTTGGTATTGCATTTGGTCGACTGGAAGAGGGTTATGAAAATGCCCTGAAAGAGTACCTCAAGAAACAGGTAGATAACTTCCTCTAAAATCATGTTTAAATCTTTCCACTATCTTTTCTTGTGTTCAACTAAAACTTAAAATATTTATTGTATTTCTACTTTACAGATCAGTCAGTTGAACAACTTGATCACTATGCTGATTGGCAAACTCTCTGCTGGAGATCGACAAAAGATCATGACTATCTGCACCATTGATGTACATGCTCGTGATGTAGTGTCATCACTAATCAACAAGAAAATAGAAAATGTTGGAGCTTTCCAATGGCAGAGTCAGCTGCGTCATCGTTGGGATGAGGAAAAAAAAGACTGCTTCGCTAACATCTGTGATGCTCAGTTCAAGTATTCCTATGAGTATCTTGGTAATACACCACGTCTTGTGATCACTCCACTGACTGACAGGTTAGTGTGATCTAGATGTTTTACTTTAGTTATGGAATTAATATTTTGATAAAATAAATGTCATGAAATCTACAGTCTGTATATAAACAATGTATATTGTGGCTTTAGGAGTCCAATACATTCATGAGCATTGTCAATTGTCCTTGTCAGTACCACTTAATTGGCCCTCAATGCAAGCCCCTACCCCTTTTACACAATCATTACTCAACTTTAATATTTGTTTGAACAGTACATTCAATCAGTTGCTCTTGAACTCTTTTTAGGTGCTACATTACTCTGACTCAGTCTCTTCACTTGATCATGGGAGGTGCTCCTGCTGGCCCAGCAGGTACTGGAAAGACTGAAACAACTAAAGATTTAGGACGTGCCTTGGGAATCATGGTGTATGTATTTAACTGTTCAGAACAAATGGACTACAAATCATGCGGTAACATCTACAAAGGTTTATCACAGACTGGTGCATGGGGATGCTTTGATGAGTTCAATCGTATCTCAGTCGAAGTGTTGTCTGTGGTAGCTGTACAGGTGAGTTTTAATGCACCTTCTCAAATCATGAAATGCTAGTGACAGCAAATACCATGCAATTGAATGATAGCAACATGTTGTATTGAAAAAAATGTATGAGAGATGGTTATGATTCTATATAAGAACTGTTTTTGTGGGGGGGGGGGGTGAATTGTCCTTACCCAACCTAGAAATGAATATATTTACATGAACAATGACAGACAAGCTGAATGACTATGTACACAATGTTTTTAATCACAGGTCAAGTCTGTACAGGATGCCATCCGTGACAAGAAATCTCGCTTCCTGTTCCAAGGGGAGGAAATCTCCATTGTGCACAGTGTTGGTATCTTCATCACCATGAACCCTGGTTATGCTGGACGTACTGAATTGCCAGAAAACTTGAAAGCACTATTCAGGCCATGTGCTATGGTTGTACCTGATTTTGAATTGATTTGTGAAATCATGTTGGTGGCAGAAGGTTTCCTTGATGCCAGACTCCTGGCACGTAAATTTATCACTCTTTACACATTGTGTAAAGAATTGCTGTCCAAACAGGTGCGTTTTAAGTATTATTTTGGCTATTCTTAGTAGTTACTTGTCCAAAAAGAAGACTAACAATTACATATAACTGCTCAAATTCATGTTGGAAAAACTGTTTCCATCAGCTTTTTATACATTTATATATTATGGCTTCTGTTGTCATTCACACATTATCCATGTCAGTCAAACACCAAACACCTAATTCAATTTTCTTTTTCATAAAGGATCATTATGATTGGGGTTTGCGTGCTATCAAATCTGTATTGGTAGTTGCTGGTGCCCTGAAGAGAAGTGATCCAAACAGACCAGAAGATCAAGTGTTGATGAGAGCCTTGCGTGATTTCAACATTCCTAAAATTGTTTCTGATGATACCCCTGTCTTTATGGGTCTGATTGGTGACTTGTTCCCTGCATTGGATGTACCTCGTAAGAGAGACTTAGATTTTGAGAAGTTAGTCAAGCAGTCAATCATAGACCTGAAACTACAACCAGAAGATAACTTTATCTTAAAGGTTGTGCAGTTGGAAGAATTACTGAACGTCCGTCACTCTGTGTTTGTTCTTGGAAATGCTGGCACAGGAAAAAGTCAGGTAAATTTGTTGAAAGTGTTAGTGAAAAATCTGTTTCTTTGCTCATCAGTCTTTATTAGTCCCCGTTCGGACGCAGTCCGAAAACGGGGACTTATGTTTTGCCCTGTGTGCGTCCGTCCGTCCGTCCGTGATCACCTGTATCTCGAACATGCATGGACCGATTAAGTTCAAACTTCACTCATACATCACACATTATATGGGACATATGCACATAGCCGATAGCCGAATAGCGGCCATTTTAAGGCCGAAAATGCATCAAAATCGCACATTTTCACCATTCCGGACCCGGATCTCAGTTATGCATGGACGGATTTTGTTCAAATTTGGTACATACATTAAACATAATAGGACCTTGATGCACGTCATTTTTTTTTTGGATCGGATTCGAAATGGCCGACTGGCGGCCATTTTGTTTTAGAGAATTCAGTTCTGGATTCGTATCTGAGACATGCTTGGATTGATCGAGTTCAAACTTCACACACACAAGGTACATCATGTCACGAATATGTATGTGCATTTGTTTCATGATCTCATTAACGATAGCCAAATGGCGACCGCTTTAAGGCCGAAAATGCATTGAAATCGCACATTTTCACCATTCCGGACCCGGATCTCAGTTATGCATGGACGGATTTTGTTCAAATTTGGTACATACATTAAACATAATAGGACCTTGATGCACGTCATTTTTTTTTCGGATCAAGTTCGAAATAGCCGACTGGCGGCCATTTTGTTTTAAAGAATTCAGTTCTGGATTCGTATCCGAGACATGTCTGGATTGATCAAGTTCAAACTTCACACACACAAGGTACATCATGTCACAAATATGTATGTGCATTTGTTTCATGATCTGCTTAACAATAGCGGAATGATGGCCATTTTAAGGCCGAAAATGCATCAAAATCACGTATTTTCATTATTCCAGAACCGGATCTCAGTCATGCATGGATGGATGGATTTTGTTCAGATTTAGCACAATGTGTTGTACATATGCAGGTGCATTTCGGTCATGATCTGCTTTGAATGTATATGTCACTCAAATATGAACGGAACGGGGATGTGTCATTGACAATGACTTGTTTTTGACTGTAATTACTCAATCGATGTCACTATGATGGCATTTTAATTGATTCTTCTTGAAATATTCAACACTATAATTATGGTTGTTTTAAATGTAGGTATTGAAAACGTTGAATAAAACTTATGCTAATATGAAGCGCAGACCTGTATGGCACGACTTGAACCCAAAGGCCGTCACTAATGATGAATTGTTCGGAATAATTAATCCGGCAACAAGAGAATGGAAAGATGGTAAGTATGACTGCACCATGGGCTACACATATTTTTCAACCAATCAGCTTCTAATGGCTTTGTGTAGTTTGATTGTAACAGACTAGAATTTGTCAATACTCAGTGTATTGAGTAGAGATTAAATATGCTGTATTCATGTTCATAGATGTATAGATCATAGTAACTGATGTAGATGTTCGTTGTTATGTTTTCTTTAGGTCTTTTCTCCACTACCATGCGTGATTTAAGTAATGTCACCCATGATGGACCAAAATGGATTGTACTGGATGGTGACATTGACCCCATGTGGATTGAATCTCTAAACACTGTTATGGATGACAACAAAGTGTTGACATTGGCTAGTAACGAACGTATCCCACTAACACCATCTATGCGTCTTTTATTTGAAATCAGTCACTTGAAGACTGCAACCCCAGCCACTGTATCAAGAGCTGGAATCCTCTTCATCAATCCATCTGATCTTGGCTGGAATCCGTGAGTTACTTTTAGATGTCTTAGTATATGTCAATTTAATAGAAATTTATTTAACTGTTTGAACTTCAAAGTCAATTGTTGTCACCTTACACAAAATAACCCAGCATCAAGAAGAATGTTGCACGAGATTTATTGCGAGAAAAATTATACCGTTAAACATAAGAACTGGACGACAAATATTGATAATCAACCTATTGATGCACTCATATATATTTTTCAGTACTAGCAATATTAACCAAATATTCTTTTATTCGCATTGCAGAGTTATAACTAGCTGGATTGACACCCGTGAAGACCAGTCACAGAGAGCCAATCTTACCATCCTGTTTGACAAGTATTTGCCATTATGTTTGGAAACCATGCGCTTCCGTTTTAAAAAGATTACTCCAATCACAGGTACAGCAAGCATTCAGTCGTAAATTTTTCACTCTTTCAAATTAATTCACAGCTATCATTTTTTCACAGAAAATTCAAATTTTATCTTTTCTTCCTTTCAGAACAAAGCATGGTGATGATGCTATGCTATTTGTTAGAAGTATTGTTGACACCAACGAACACACCCCCTGACTGTCCGAAGGAATTATATGAATTGTACTTTGTGTTTGCTTGTGTCTGGGCATTTGGTGGAGCCATGTTCCAGGATCAACTGGTTGATTATCGAGTGGAATTCTCCAAATGGTGGGTGACAGAATTCAAGACTATTAAATTCCCAAGTGCAGGCACAGTCTTTGATTATTATATTGATGCAGAAACCCACAAATTTGTGTCATGGGCGGAGTTGGTTCCTAACTTTGAATTGGATCCTGAAATGCCTTTACAGGTAGGTTATTTGTTTATGTTTGTGTGCATAAATTTTTAAGTGTTGACTCTATAAAAATGTACTTTGAATTCTTGAGGTTTGTTGTTTGGATGTGAATTTGGAATAGATTCAAGGAAAAACAGATTTTCTATTTCTGTTCATCATACATCACAGATTAAATGTATATACATATAAATTTGTTCTTTAATTTCTCAGGCTGTATTAGTACACACCTCGGAAACCATCCGTTTGAAATATTTCATGGACTTGTTGATGGAAATGGGAAGACCTTGCATGTTAGTTGGTAATGCTGGTCTTGGCAAAAGTGTACTTGTTGGTGATAAGCTTGGTAATTTGTCTGATGACTACATGGTTGCCAATGTACCGTTCAACTACTACACCACATCAGCTATGTTACAAGGTGTTCTGGAGAAACCATTAGAGAAGAAAGCTGGTCGTAACTATGGGCCACCTGGCACCAAAAAACTTATCTATTTCATTGATGACATGAACATGCCTATGGTGAGTAACTTGCTTCTTATTTCAACATATTGAATGCTTAAAAATAGACTCAAACAACAGTGACAAGATTTTTGATAATCTCACTATTTATTTTAACCACATAGACATAAATGCACGTTAATTTTATCTGCATTCTCTGTGATAAATAACAATGGTTTATAACTAGACATGCAGGAGTTCTTAACTTTCTACTGCCCATAAATCAGCATAGGCAAACTACTGAAACTATTTATCTTTACAAATAGGTTCATTCCTAATGTATTGTTTTGTTATCTTAAGTTTTTAAGGTCATGTTTTACCACCCCCACCCCCGGACTCCCATGTATAAACTCTAATCCGTGTACAGTAATGTTATGTTTATTTCAAATTTTTTCCAAATTTCATTTTTTTCACCTATTTTGTATAACAATAAGTAATCTATTCAAAAATAATATGAAAAAATTCCAAAGACTATTGATCAACCTTAATATGTTTAATTTTTTTAGGTTGATACATATGGTACAGTGCAACCACACACGCTTATCCGTCAGCATATGGACTACAAGCATTGGTACGATCGCAATAAATTGACACTGAAAGACATCCATAACTGCCAATATGTTGCTTGCATGAATCCAACATCTGGCAGCTTCACCATCAATCCACGTCTACAGCGTCATTTCTGTGTATTTGCTCTCAGTTTCCCTGGGCAAGATGCATTGAAAGCAATCTATTCCAGTATTTTGTCACAACATCTGCTTCTAAATAGCTTCCCTCAAGCACTTCAAAAGATGGCTGTAACAATCGTAGATGGTGCTCTGGAAGTGCACAAGAAGGTGACATCTACTTTCTTGCCAACTGCTGTTAAATTCCACTATGTATTCAACTTGAGAGATTTGTCAAATATTTTCCAGGTAAGTTTAGTTTTAAGTCATGATCTTAATACATGCCATGCCTTAAATAGTTTACATATACATGTAGTTAAATCCTTTAGCTTATGTACATCTAACAGTGCTATTGTATTTTATTTCAGGGTTTCTTATTCTCCATGCCTGATTGCTTGAAGGCACCAGTTGATTTTGTTCGTTTATGGCTTCATGAATCTGAAAGAGTTTATGGTGATAAACTGATTGATGATAAAGATATAGAAGCGTTTGCAAAACTTAAATTTGATTATGCTAAGAAATATTTTGAGGTAAGTTATTATGGTGTGTTGCACAATAACCAAATTTTATTCAATGAAGCAAAGAACAAATATGGTATCATTTTCAAGTACATATGTAATAAGATAATAAGTATGAAATTTGTTAATTTTAGCATTTTTGTATCTATAGGCATTTATGATAATATTGTTTGGTTGATCTTCCATTACATTTTTTTAGGAAATCGATGATGAAGCTCTACAAGCAAAACCTAACATCTTTTGCCATTTCGCGAGTGGAATAGGGGAACCCAAATATCTCCAAGTGGAAGGATGGGATTCTCTGAGTAAAATCCTGGTAGAAGCTTTGGACAGTTATAATGAAATCAATGCTGTCATGAACCTTGTACTTTTTGAAGATGCAATGTTCCATGTATGTCGCATTAACCGTATTTTAGAATCTCCACGTGGTAATGCTCTTCTTGTTGGTGTTGGTGGTAGTGGTAAGCAGAGTTTGGCTCGTCTGGCATCTTATATCAGCAGTTTAGATGTTTTCCAAATTACACTTAGAAAAGGTTATAGTATCCCCGATCTTAAGGTAAGGATAGTTTTGTATACATTTCTTGTGTCTTTCACCTAAAAAAAAAACTATGAAAACATGCATGCAGAACATGAAAAGTTCAACACTGATTTTGAAACATTAAATTTGCTCTGGATTTGCACATAGATAAGGTGAATCAGTTATGCTACAAATGTATATACAATTTTTATGCTCAAGACTATTAGAAGGCATACAAATTTACATTTCCACAACAAAACAGAAGTAAATATTGAACAGTCAGGCACTTAAACTCTGGAATCACAATTAAATTTGTTGTTTTATTTTCATTCACAGCTTGATTTAGCTGCACAGTATATCAAAGCAGGCCTCAAGAACGTTGGTACAGTATTCCTAATGACCGACGCCCAGGTTTCTGATGAGAAATTCCTGGTATTGATCAATGATTTGTTGGCATCTGGTGAAATTCCCGATCTGTTCCCAGATGATGAAATTGAAAATATTATCGGCGGCATTAGGAATGAAGTCAAAGGAGCAGGCCTGTTGGATACTAGAGAAAACTGTTGGAAATTCTTCATTGACAGAGTTAGAAGACAATTGAAAGTATGTGTAAATAATAAATTCTTAATGTTAACTTAATGCTATATATAAAAAAAACTTCTGCAAGTTAGCCCTTTTTTTTAACTAGCAATCTTACTTAACTAAAAAAAATGTTCTGATTTGCTATTGTTTGCAGGTGGTTTTGTGTTTCTCTCCCGTTGGTACAACTCTTAGAGTAAGAAGTCGGAAATTCCCTGCCGTTGTTAACTGTACTTGCATTGATTGGTTCCATGAATGGCCACAACAGGCATTGAACTCTGTGAGTCAGAGATTCTTGGAAGACATTGAACTTCTCACAGTAAGTATGGTTTACTCATTTCAAGCATATTTTCTTGGATTTGTTTTATTGATCTCCTGTAGTGAATATAATGAATAAAGCATTCAAAAACATTTCAATGCAATCACAAGGGATGTTAATACACGCTGAAAGAAAGATATAACTACTATATTCTGTAATAATAGCCACCTCCTGTGACAACCAACACTTGCTGATAACTCACTGAACAGAAGACTGTTAAAACATCAATTGTTTTGTTTTCATTTTTTTGTAAAGCACTAAGGCAAACCATTTTAATAGACATGTATAGAGCTCTGTTATCTGATGTTGAATTTAATAGTCAGATAAGTATAACAGTTTGCAAATCTCTCATTCTTTTTATTATTTTCAATTATCTACACAGCCCGAGTTGAAAGTTTCCATTGCAGAGTTTATGGCATATGTGCACACCAGTGTCAATGATATCAGCAAAATGTATCTGCAGAATGAAAAGCGATATAACTATACTACACCCAAAAGCTTTCTTGAGCAAATTAAACTATATGACAGTTTGCTGCAAATGAAGAGTAAGGAATTGACTGGAAAGATGGAACGTCTTGAAAATGGTCTCACAAAATTACAGAGCACTGCATCTCAGGTATGTGAATCTGGAAATACTATCAATCAGTGTGTATTCTAATTTAATTTGTAATAGTTTTGAAATGCTTTGAATATTTAGCAATGAAAAAAAAAGCATTTTTACATTTAACAAAATAAATTTTAACTAACTTAGGTGGATGACCTTAAAGCTAAATTGGCTGCCCAAGAAGTTGAACTCAAACAGAAAAATGAGGATGCAGACAAGCTTATCCAGAGAGTTGGCATTGAAACTGAGAAGGTCAGCAAAGAGAAGATGATTGCTGATGAAGAAGAGAAAAAAGTTGCTGTCATCAATGAGGAAGTCTCAAAGAAGCAGAGAGATTGTGAGGCAGATTTAGCTAAAGCAGAGCCTGCTCTTATTGCTGCTCAAGAAGCTTTGAATACATTGAATAAAGTAAGAGAAATCTTTTTCTTTATTTTATAACTTTTTATTTTTAATAGAATATAAAAAAATATGAATTCAAACCATTATTAGGATACAAACTGGCCATATTAATAATATGAGGTTATTACGAGGATTTCGCAAAGTATGCATGATGACAGTACAGCGAGCGTATCGATTGGGGCTGCCATGTTTGATTTTACTATTAGAGGACGCTTATGCATGTAATCATATTTCCTCAAAATTATGGCAATACCCCAAAATTACGGCATGCTGTAATTTATGGCGTTACGGTGACAGAAGTATAAATATGCTGTATTTAACTTTTGTTTTTCTAACAGAACAACTTGACAGAGTTGAAGTCTTTTGGTTCCCCACCTGGTGCGGTAGTAAATGTAGTTGCAGGTGTAATGGTATTGTTAGCACCCAATGGAAAAATTCCCAAAGATAGAAGCTGGAAAGCTGGTAAAGTTATGATGGGAAAAGTAGATAGTTTCTTAGATCAGCTGGTTAACTATGACAAAGAAAATATCCATGAGAATTGTCTAAAGGCGATCAGACCTTATATAGATAATCCTGAATTTGATGCTGACTTTATCCGCAGCAAGTCTGCTGCAGCTGCTGGTCTCTGTGCCTGGGTTATCAATATTGTTAGTTTCTATGAGGTGTTTAGTGATGTAGAACCTAAGAGAATTGCCCTGAATCAAGCAAATGCAGAATTGCAAGCGGCCCAGGATAAGTTGACTACTATCAAGAACAAGATTGCTGAACTAGATGCCAGTTTAGCAGTATTGACATCTGAATTTGAAACTGCAACCGCAGCTAAACTGAAGTGTCAACAGGAAGCAGAATCCACAGCCAAAACAATTGAATTGGCCAACAGACTTGTAGGCGGTCTCGCTTCAGAGAATGTCCGATGGGCTGAATCTGTCTCAAATTTCAAAGAGCAGGAAAAGACACTGCGTAAGTATACACATGAGATGGTTTGTCATTTATCTTGGAGTTTTTCAGACAGCATATTAGAATGTGATCCACAGCTACAAAATACATTCTGCCCCATAGGTTTACTGAGCACATTGCCGCTTGACGCCATTTTTTAGCTTTTCTCCCATCAAAGATGAGAGGATGGAGCTCTTTATATTGGCGACTGTCCATTGTCATCCCTTAACAAGTTCCATTTTTGAAAACTACCAGCCCAATTACTTTACTACTTTACATGGTGTCCTTGGGGTGGACCTCTTTGAGATTTGTTTATTTTGTGACGAAAACTTCAAATCTTTAATTTTTAGCGAATACTAATTTAGTTTTTCAACCTTGTGTGCATCATTTATAACATTTGTAACTACCAGTAGTTGCAAAATTAATTAGTATCTAGGTCAACAACTATTCATTTCTTTTTTGTTTGCACAATACAACAGTTCATTATTTACCAAAATGTTATATTTTTGTGCATTCATTGGTTCTGCTCGTTCAAAAAGTTAATTGAATTATTACTTCGTTTCTTTTCTGTAGCTGGTGATGTGTTGTTAATCACAGCATTTGTGTCCTACATTGGTTGCTTTACCAAGCCATATCGTCTAGACTTGATTGATGATAAGTGGCTTCCACATCTGAAAGGACTTAAGGAACCAATTCCAATAACTGAAGGATTAGATCCTCTCACAATGCTGACTGATGATGCTGCCATTGCCACGTGGAATAATGAAGGTCTACCCAGTGATCGAATGTCTACAGAAAATGCTACTATTTTAACCAACTGTGAGCGATGGCCCCTCATGGTTGATCCACAGTTGCAGGGTATCAAGTGGATCAAGAAGAAGTATGGAGAGGATCTGCGAGTAGTACGTCTTGGTCAGAGGGGTTACCTTGATACCATCGAAAGAGCTATTTCTTCGGGTGACACTGTACTAATAGAGAACTTAGAGGAGGATATGGACCCTGTATTAGACCCTGTACTTGGTAGAAATACCATCAAGAAAGGAAGGTTGGTCATCCACCATTCTCATATAAAAGTTGCATAATTGTCTTTCCATTGAATTACAGTCAATCTGATTCTGATCATTTATCCCTTATGCGTCATTCAGGTACATCAAGATTGGTGACAAGGAAGTGGAGTACAATTCAGATTTCCGACTCATCCTGCATACCAAATTAGCCAATCCTCATTACAAGCCTGAAATGCAGGCCCAGACCACCTTAATCAACTTCACCGTAACAAAGGATGGTTTGGAAGATCAGCTGTTAGCTGATGTAGTAGCTAAAGAAAGACCTGATCTTGAAAAACTTAAATCTGATCTAACAAAGCAACAGAATGACTTTAAGATCATCCTGAAAGAACTAGAGGATAATTTGCTGTCTCGTCTCTCGGCTGCTGAAGGGAACTTCCTTGGTGATACAGCATTGGTTGAAAATCTGGAAACAACTAAGCGTACAGCTGCTGAAATTGAAATCAAAGTAGAAGAAGCGAAAGGGACCGAGCTGAAGATCAACGAAGCTCGTGAACTGTACCGCCCTGCTGCAGCCCGAGCTTCATTGATCTATTTCATCCTGAATGATCTCAACAAAATCAACCCAATCTATCAATTCTCACTTAAGGTAGGTAATTGCATTACAGATTTAAGGGTAATAATGAGTTGTAATCATACTTTTTAGCTTCTTAATCATTTTATATTTAAATTACAGAAGTGACAATTATAGTGGCAGTGCAACTATCATTTGTGTAGCAAGTGAATCCTTTTTTGGCTGTTGCTGGGCACAATGATTAATAGTAGATACCATATCTGTAAATAGCATCAAACACACGCAGAACAAAAACACAATTTTTTTAGCAAAAAAAATTACACATTAAAGTTGTGTACCCTTAGATCATTCAGAAGGCTTTATTGGGTTCTTAGAACTCATTAAGTCACCAGTACACATTTTATAGTATGATTATGTGTAAATTGCAGAATGTCTTTCATTCAAAACAATTTGGAACAAAGGTAAATCACTATTTATAAGCAAATAACAATAAAATGGGAAGCTGCACCGATTTCTGGCATTCAGAAGTGCTGAAAATTGTAAATTGAGCTTTTAGTGCACATAACTTTCGTCGTACAAAGTGGTACAAATTCAGACCATTGGCTGTTTGACATACATGTAGTAGTCATAGTACCTAAATAAAGTATGATGAATGATCGGTGTATTGCAGCCTTTACAACAATGTATCAGTAAATATATTAATTATTGTGCATTGTTGCACATACTAGTATAAAACTGCATTACAGTTGGCATAGCCCTTTTGCATGTGTAATTTATTTTTATACTGTAGTAAATTTTCATTCCATTCATGAATTCTAATAATGTGCATATTCATATTCACCTCCTAACTTGCTCTTCTTTCTCAAATTTCAGGCATTCAGTGTTGTGTTTGCCAAGGCTATTGAAAGAGCTGAGCCTGCAGAAGAAGTAAAAGAAAGAGTGAACAACTTAATTGACTCTATAAGTTACTCAGTATTTATGTACACTTCCCGTGGTCTCTTTGAAGCCGACAAGCTCATCTTCACCACTCAGCTGGCTTTGCAGGTATGTATCATTTTCACATTTAGTTGGGATGTAATAATAAAACAAGTCTATCATGTGAAAATTGTTCATGAATAAACTTTGAATTGTACAACACTTATCTTGGGAGCATGTTTCGGCTATCAATTTGAAAAAAACTTTTGGCCCAATGGCAATACTAGATAATTGGTTAAATTTCTGTCAACTTGGTATTTGAAGCCATATACAAATTTTAATACAACTTCGAAAAAAAAGTTTTAATTGATGAATTTTATTTAGGACAATCATATATTGTATGCTAACTATTTGTTTTAAACATAATCATATGAATTTCTACTTATTCCTGTCATTGATTTTGGAAAATAGTAACCATGGTAAAGTAAGAGAATTAGTCTGTCTGCCTACAATGTAGGTCATACTACCGTTACTGTTAATAATTAGAAGCCTCTGAACTCAATGATCAAAATTGTACAGCATCTGTAAGGGTTCCAAAACTTAATGTTAGGTTCACATGGATGGATTTCAATCAAACTTGGCACATCCTGTAAATGCATTAAATATTCAATGGGTTTTAATTTTGTTATTCTCTCTGATAAGTAAATTCTGCTAAATTAAATCTATGTGAACATGTAGAATAAGAACAAAACTCATTGTTTCCTTGACAAATTAAAACACAGTAAATATGCTTAAAATAGTAAAATTAAATGTCAGTGAAAATAAATGATTTTACAGTACATACATCATGAGACTTTGATGCAAATCTTTTTTATTTTATGGATCATATTCAAAATGGCTGACTGGTGTCCCTTTTGTTTAAAAAAAAATCTGTTCCAGAGCCATATCTACTGACATGCCTGGATGCATATGCACATGTATTACACAACTGGATCTATGTAACTTCTATACACAGCTTTTCATTTCAGTTTTGTTTAATATTATTTCACAATTACTTTTCATTACATTTATCATTCGTACTATTCCTCTTTTTCAGATCCTACTTGTGAAGAAAGAGATCAACCCTGTTGAACTAGAATTCTTGCTCCGATTCCCATCACAAATGAATGTTACTAGTCCAGTGGATTTCTTATCCAATTATTCATGGGGTGCTATCAAGGTAAGCATGCTTTACGCCATATGTGTATAATCTACAAGTTTTAGAATAATAGCGAAGAAGCTTCTTTAAAGTGTTTTTTTTTTTTTTTACATTATTTACATTTTTATTTATTTTGATCTACTTTCACAGTCCCTGGCTAATATGGAAGAGTTCCGCAATTTAGATCGTGATATTGAAGGCTCAGCGAAGAGATGGAAGAAGTTTGTGGAAAGTGAGTGTCCAGAAAAAGAGAAGTTTCCACAAGAATGGAAGAACAAATCAGCTTTACAGAAGTTGTGCATGATGAGACCTCTGCGTGCAGATCGTATGACCTATGCTGTCAGGTAAACACAATTTCAGCTCATACACTGTGATAAAATGTGTGAATGGTTTGATGTGGAAATTGAAACGCTGGCCAAGTGCATATCTGGTTTTCAAGAACATGAGTGAACCATGTTCATATTACAAATTTTGATTAAAAGGAAAAAAGTATTAAATAGTAATAGCTCAACTAGGACAATACTGTGATACAAATTAAAATTCTAATGGAAATATTTTCTTCTTGTGAAATAGGAATTTCATTGAAGAGAAGCTCGGCAACAAGTATGTTGACATCCGTAGTATTCCATTCTCTGAATCCTTTGAAGAGACAGGCCCTGCAACACCTGTATTCTTCATCTTATCACCTGGTGTGGATCCACTTAAAGATGTAGAGGCACAAGGCAAAAAATTGGGCTTTGGTATGAACAATGGCAACTTTCATAATGTATCACTTGGACAAGGTCAAGAAATTGTTGCTGAACAATGTATGGACCTGGCTGCCAAGGAAGGACACTGGGTTATCTTACAAGTAAGTGTTCTCTTTTTTTGTTTGGCTATCTTATCATGTATATCATAAAAACAATTATTATTATTTTCACTCTAACAAAAGGCAATGGCAATAAATTATGTATATGTCATAATCATTTTCATTGATTTTTCAGAATGTTCACTTGGTCGCTAAATGGCTTCCTACTCTGGAGAAAAAACTAGAAGCCTACGGTGAAGGTAGTCACGAGGATTATCGTGTTTTCATAAGTGCTGAACCAGCATCATCAGCAGAATTTCATATCATCCCACAAGGTATCCTTGAGTCTGCAATTAAAATTACCAATGAACCACCCACTGGAATGTTTGCCAACTTGCACAAGGCATTGTACAACTTTGACCAGGAAACCCTGGAGATGTGTGCCCGTGAAGTTGAGTTCAAGAGCATCCTGTTTGCTTTGTGCTACTTCCATGCTGTGGTTGCAGAAAGACGAAAGTTTGGTCCACAAGGTTGGAACAGGTCCTACCCATTCAACACTGGTGACTTAACAATTTCTGTCAATGTGTTGTACAATTATTTAGAGGCCAATGCTAAGGTTAGTCTAAATGCTTTATTGACCAATGTTGGGGACAGTAGTGGAGGGGGGAGGTTGGATTGGGTTCTGTGTTTGGCCTTGGATGCAACTTGAACTGATATTTCTAATGTTTGACATAAAAAATACAGTGGCTTTGTAAAATAATGTCAGTTATGTCTAATGTTTGTTGCAAACTATTAAGTAATTAATAATTCTCTGCTTGGCCATTCAGGACTGAAAATGATTCAATATAACTTGTCATTTTATATAAATATTCATATGTTCATTTTTATTTAGCACTGAATTTTATTAACGCTTTCAGGTACCTTGGGAAGATTTACGTTACCTGTTTGGTGAGATCATGTATGGAGGTCATATTACTGATGACTGGGATCGACGTCTCTGTCGAACCTACTTAGAAGAATACATGCATCCAGATATGTTGGAAAGCGAATTATATTTAGCACCAGGATTCCCCATTCCACCTAATTCAGACTACAAGGGTTACCATCAATATATTGATGAGATGTTGCCCCCAGAAAGTCCATATCTTTATGGTCTCCATCCAAATGCTGAAATTGGTTTCTTAACTCAATCAAGTGAAATTCTTTTCAAAACTGTTTTGGAAATGCAACCTCGTGACTCTGGTGCTGGTGAGGGTGCTGTCTCCAGAGAGGAAAAGGTGGGTAATATGGATGTCTATGGAATTATCTTGTAATATGTGTTTTATTTTTATACACAAATGGCGCAACTTTCATTCAAACTTTACTACAGAAATTCAATGAATCATCTATTAAAGGTTCATAATATGTAATCTATTTCATTGATTTATTTTGTAGTGATTGACAAAACAAAGTATTTGTTCGGTTTCTAATAGCACATTCAGTTGCAATCAATTGAAAAATTAAAGTTTTTTACCAATTATATAGGAGCAATTAGGTACCGGTAACTTGTTTGATACCAAAAAACACTGTATGACCAACTAATCATCTATGATTCGTATGAGTCAAAATATGAACCTCTTGCGTCTAATGTCAAAAGATGACCAGGGTTTTCTCTAAATCTTTGGTTCTCTCGACTGTAAAAAGTTGGCAGTAAAACTGTTTTTCAATGCATAGGTTTTGTAGGGGTGTAAGCCTGTCATTCAGGATATGGAGTTGACTAAATTACTGCCAACTGCCTACTACCTTTTACAGAAAACTCTTCTGAAAGAAGGGAGCAGTCAGATGTAATTTAGTAAAATTAATAATCAATATACTTGAAAACACCATCAATCAGAGACTTAATAATAATGAATCATTCTGTCTATGTTTTATAGGTAAAGACAATCTTAGACGAAGTAGTTGAGAAACTTCCAGAAGAGTTCAACATGGTAGAATTGTATGCGAAGACTGAAGAAAAGACACCATACACTGTTGTTGCTATTCAAGAATGTGAACGTATGAATGTATTAACAAATGAAATGAAAAGATCACTCAAAGAACTGGATTTGGGCCTTAAGGTGAGTATTGTCTTCTTTGTCTCTTTCACAATTGATTCCTCAAGCAACAGTTCTGTGATGGTGCTGCTTAAATATCTATTTGAACTAAAAAAAACATATTGTATTTGTTATGTGTGCTACTATGGTTATGATTATATGCATCTGTATTTCTCTTCTTCCCACAGGGTGAATTAACAATTACAACTGATATGGAAGATCTGAGCAATGCTTTGTTCTTAGATCAAATTCCTCCCACTTGGCAGCATCGTGCTTACCCAAGTACTTTTGGTATGTCCGCATGGTTCAGTGATCTCTTGTTGCGTATTCGTGAACTGGAACAATGGACATCAGACTTTGCATTGCCCAATGTTGTCTGGCTGTCTGGTCTCTTCAATCCCCAGTCCTTCCTCACAGCTATCATGCAGTCCACAGCTCGTAAGAATGAATGGCCACTGGATAAGATGACACTACAATGTGATGTAACAAAGAAAAGCAAAGAAGATTTCAGTGGTGCTCCTCGTGAAGGTTCTTACGTCCATGGACTGTATATGGAAGGGGCTCGTTGGGATACCCAGACCGGTATGCTTGCGGAAGCTCGACTCAAAGAACTTACTCCTGCCATGCCTGTTATCTTTATTCGTGCCATTACAGTAGATAAGATGGAAACCAGAAACATATATGAATGTCCTGTCTACAAGACAAAAATGCGTGGTCCAACATACGTCTGGACTTTCAACTTGAAGTCCAAGGAGAAGCCAAACAAGTGGACTCTTGGTGGTGTAGCTCTACTCCTCCAAGTTTAAAATCAAAATATGACCTAGTGTGCTCTCTACTCCTGGTTGATTTTGATTTTAAATATAACTGTTTTTGTTTTTGCTGAAAGAGAAAAAAAAAGTGTTTACCAATTTATGTCATCACAACATCCAAAACAATATGGATCGCTATGATTGAAAAAATTGTATGATGTACAATATTAGTGATTTATACTTTCTCTTTCTAATGATCAGATGAGTTCCGTCCATTTCATACTCATATTTTACTTAAACTCACCTTAATCCATTGCAGCTACACTGTACAGAAAATGTACATACTATTTAAGTACTTACAAGAATTATTTTTTGACCTAAAGCAAAACCATTTGCATCAAGAGAACTTGTTCCAAAATGGTCCAAAGATAAATAAAGTCTACAGCCCTGTGGCCAATCGAATAATTGTCTATTCTCAAGTTACTATAAAAATGGCCACTACTTTATTATTTTTTAGATCCAATTTACTTGTACATATGTTAATTCTTAATCCTTATCTATCCCAGGGTCATTGGATATATTCATGTTTATAGAGAAGGTGGTGTCCATTCTGTTCAGAAAATGTAAACGGGTCCATATTTTCAATAGTGTGGATTTTGTTACCTATTCAGGACATGTCCATTGATACTAGAAATAATAGGAATTAAACCAATTCACTCTGACAGTCCTGTAAATTCTGCATTCTGCTTTTATACATGTACTATAAAACAAACAGTTTGCAAGTTGTAATTATTTGGTACAAAATTTGTTATATCAATAAAAAGTTTGTTGTTTATATTATTCTATTAAATGTGAGTTTTTGTCTTATGTGTACAGAGCACAAAAGGAGGCAAATGTCATATGATGGAGGATGGATGGATGGATGTGTCAAATCTCATTCTACCAAATCCAGTTCAATCAAAGCATACATCTTGGGCATAATTTTGATAAGTCAACAAAAATCCTGTCAACAACTGCTCTTTGATTGGTCTAACTGGTAGTTGTTAGGGTTAGGTGGCCGCACAGACACATTAAGTAGAGATTCACTGGCTTCCAATATCTCAAGAACTGGGTAGATTGGAACAAATGCTTTGTGATTTACAAACTTAATTTCCGAAATAATGAACTATTTTCAGCATGCTTCTCAAGTACTAATCAAATTTCAGTGAAACTAAATACATAGATGTCACGGCACAATGCACAGATCTGACTGGTTTTAGGTTAATAATATTTGCATATTAATAACCAATTTGCATAATTAATCAATTTTCAGCTTTTTCAATATCTCAAGTCCTTATTTTATCTCCATGAATCTTGGTACATATATACTCTAATGCAATGATCTAATTAGTATTGGGTTTGTATAAATCCATAATAATTATCTAATTTGCATAATTTACTTTTTTGCTTTACAATTTTATTATCTGGAATTAGACTGAAAACTACAAACAAAAATCAAAATTATCAGAAATTTTGATAATGTGATTCACATAGTTTTCATGTTGTGCATCTTAAATAGCTGACTATTATTAGATGCAAAGCTTTGTGTTTGAAAGGCTAATCTTAAATTTTGAATTATTTTTAATGCGTCTCTCAGCACACAGGAGTTCTTTCTCGCTTTCTTTGATTTTGTTATTCTAACAGCAGTTTTCTCAAATTGATTAAAATTGGCAAATGTAAATTAGCTAATTTGCATACTAATTGACTATTTTCAATACGTTTTGTTGATGTCCTAATTTGATGTCCTGTTTTGGTAGATGAATGTAAAACACTACTTTGGAATTAATCTGCATATGCTAATTTGCATACCAATTAACTATTGTATTTGTTGATGCATGATGCGATGACTGGCAGATTATTCCCCAAACGCCACAGATCTGCCTTGCATGCACTCACAATAAACAACATTGACTACTGTGCTTATTCAACATCAAAATAATTGTCATAATAAACTATGGTACAGATGTAGTCAGTCAGTCGCTGACAGCTGGTGACAATAAATTCATTCGCAGCAATACAGTATTTAATTTCAACTCAATTCTGATCAGAGAGTGGGTCAACTCTCCAATAATTAGTAATTATTGGTAAAACTCAAAGTGAAAGCTTGTAACTAAGAACTTTTCATGTGCAAATAGCTCTAATGCAATAAAATTACTCAGTATATATCGCTAGATGTTGACAGTCAACGTAAAATTATCACTCCTTGATTATCTTTGAAATACATGAAGCCAGAACATACCTGAAATCATTGTAATATAATAAGGAGCAACAAAGTTCACACATCAGCAAAAAGAATGACTTGTGGCACCAGGTGAAATGCATGTGCAGGAAAGGTTACTTAATTAGCATGTTAGGGGGTCGACTGACTTGTGAATATGTATAAGCATCTGCACCAGGAATAAGTTAGAATGAATCAGAATCAATGGATTTTCTCTGGATTTACAGAAAGCATATTTTCATATCCAAATACATCCAAGCATCTATCACTTTTGGTTCACTGCCCTTCCAGCTGGGGTGATGATCGACTGCCACAATGGTGTTCAAAATGGTATCTACAATGCACAAGTAAGACATACATATATCCTCATAGATATTTGAGGTATAGTGATGTTCCAGAGAACTCCAGAAGAATTCTTATCATACCACAATAACATTTAATGAATGTGAGAGCTTGCAGCCTCTTGCAAACAACTCTAGAGAAGAAGTCTTGCATGAATTGTTAGGAAATGACTGCCATTCAGGTCACTGTAAGCATTTCATAACATTATTCAGGGCACAACAGTATTGTTGTATTACAACCCTGGTAGCCTGTGTTAAGGAAAAGCGGGGTTATCAAGTCTTGTACATTGCACAAATTAGTGATAGAAATACTTCAGTACAGTAAGATCATAATAAGCTGGAGGGTGTATTGAACACCCTAGTCACCACACTTTCTCGTTAGAAGAGCTACGACAGCACAACATTGCAGCTAAATTCCATCTGTTCAATCTATTGGCAGAGATGTCCATACACCTATTCAACAAATACAAAAAGATCAGTGTTGATCATCTCAAACATATTTGACGACCAAGCTCACTAGTTAAATGCACTTACAATGATGTGGAAGAACACTGATGTATGTATGCTCCCACTGTTTTCCAGAAATTACAGCATACAAACACTTTCATGAGACTTACAATCTCTACAAAACTGAGCAGTTGTTCATCAATGAATCCTCTAATTATTCACTTGGAGGTACTGGAGCAACTTGGCCTTGCGTAAGGTTTTTTTTATGGGTCTGTTTACCACTGAAAACTCCATGCACAGCCAAATTGTTCAACTCTCTTAGCCCATACAAGATTTACCCAGATTGCTGTCCTCTTACAGCCCAGACTGTATGGAACAGCTTACTACCCCTTTACAGTCCACACATGATTCACGAGCTAACTACCTTTTTAGAGTCTACCCAAAATTGGGTAGCTTACTGCCCACTTACAGTCTACAAGTTGGCCAAGGTATGACCAGCTCACTTCACCTGTCTAGTTAGTCTATACAGTTCAAACAGGATTGACCAGCTCACTACCACATACAGATCCCACATGATTCATCAGCTCACTATCCCCTACCAGTGCAGACCACATAGGATTTACCAGCTTACTACAACTGATAGACGGCACAGGATTCACCAGCTTACTACCACTAATTGATCACACAGGAGTTACCAGCTCACTACCCCCTCACAGTCCACACAGGATTCATCAGCTCACTATCCCATACCAATGCAGACCACATAGGATTCACCAGCTTACTACAACTGATAGACAACATAGGATTCACCAGCTCACTACCACTAATAGATCACACAGGATTCACCAGCTTATTACCCTCTCACAGTCCACACAGGATTCATCAGCTCACTATCCCCTACCAGTGCAGACCACATAGGATTCACCAGCTTAATACAACTGACAGACAACACAGGATTCGCCAGCTTGCTACCCCCTCACAGTCCACACAGGATTCATCAGCTTACTATCACTAATAGATCACACAGGATTCACCAGCTTGCTACCCCCTCACAGTCCACACAGAATTCATCAGCTTACTACAACTGATAGACGACACATGATTCACCAGCTTACTACCACTAATAGATCACACAGGATTCACCAGCTTATTACCCTCTCACAGTCCACACAGGATTCATCAGCTCACTATCCACTACCAGTGCAGACCACATAGGATTCACCAGCTTAATACAACTGATAGACAACATAGGATTCACCAGCTTACTACCACTAATAGATCACACAGGATTCACCAGCTTACTACTCTCTCACAGTCCACACAGGATTCATCAGCTCACTATCCACTACCAGTGCAGACCACATAGGATTCACCAGCTTAATACAACTGATAGACAACATAGGATTCACCAGCTTACTACCACTAATAGATCACACAGGATTCACCAGCTTACTACTCTCTCACAGTCCACACAGGATTCATCAGCTCACTAT